TGAGACATCTGTGTACAGTGGGTGCTGGGTGAGAGGGAGGCAGAGGTGACCTCATGTGAGCCTGCCTGCCCCAAAGGAACATTACCAATTACTGTCTTGATTATCAGAGTTATAGAATTTTCAGTCCTCGATTTTCTGCCTCAGGAAACACTGGAATTAAAATTGCTCAGCAGAACTTTGTCATTGGTATTTGGTTAGTTATTTCAACCTCTAAACACTTTAGCCTTAAGAGTTCAAGTAAGTTCATGTTCAAAGGATCTCTTAAAAACACACAGCTAGAAGTTGAAAGACTTGCTGGAGATTCCAATTTCTAAGGATTATTTCCTGTTTACTTTTCATACCAGCTAGCTGAATTCTCACATTTCATCTTGGACGCAGGAGTCAACTGTCTGCAGAGGACATACTTTGTTTTCTTACACTCAAACAGGCAAACTCAAGATAGACTCCTGGCTCTGTTTACAAAAAAAGGTAGAGCAATAAATGTGAGGTAGAGAAAGCCATCTTGGGAGAGGGACGCGGATTGGAGCACAAGGAACTTTTTTGTTCCAGAGTGTAGAAATCAAAACACTGAAACTGCTGTGGTATTTTGGGTATTATCCAAAACAGCAGAGCCGCTAGTGAGAAAATGAAAACTGATCCATTTCAGTTGAACAATTTGTACCTTTTATGCTACTACATTCATGCACAACAATCAAGAGGCAAGAATCTGGACTCCTTAGCCTCGCTTCTCACCAAACTAGAAGTTTTACACTGCTTATGAAATAAGACATGTTTTTGTTGATGCGTTTAAAGACAGACGGATTACATTCAGCCATGGGCCACAGGAAGGATGACAGAAAAATATAATAAGGGTGTTTGTTAAGACATTGACCTTTCTAGAAGGACTGAAAGGGCTTGAGAAATTTCCAGAACAGAAGTTCTACCCAACATACTTTATCATATCCAATGGTAGATTTTTCCATATGCTGCTCTGCTTCCACCCTTCCTACTGCCACTGGCATACTTCTTCTCCAGCTATTATGTGGAATCTATTCCAGACTGACAAGAATATCTATCTGTGCATACCCAGTGATTACTTACAGTCACACAGTTTTACTTGCAAATAAAAGATGGTAAGTGTAAAACCAGTGCGTACATTGAGTATTAGGGTAGTGCATTTCTGTTGGTTCACTGAAAAAAATTGACTTTAAGGAGGAAGAGGACATGCATTTTCTGTAATAAAGATTTGAATCAAAATGTTTTGAACAAGTGCCCTTATCAGTAAAAATGAGGTCGGTGTGCAAGTGAATTGACATGTAAACATGATTTTTAAAGTAGCCCCATAACTGTCAAACAGCCTTCAGGGACTACAGGAAAAACACAGTAATATGGCAAATGTTATAAGTCTCCAGAATAACTCTTATCCCATTTATGTTTTGATTCTGTCATCACTATCCATCTATCCTTATCCTGAGGCAGTAATGAAATACAAGACTTGTTTCAAACACAGAAGAGAAAGCACTGTACTTTGAAAGATATAGTTAGCTAAACTGAGCCTGGGCTACCAGCAGTGCATTAAATGTTTTGCCAATTTTAATCCAAGCTCACACTGCTATAACTCTTTTGGAGCTCATCTTCCATTAAAACTGTGGAGAGTGACCAGGGCACAACCTGCAGGTAGATTTTTCATCATGTCCACATGATTCAGCAATTTCCAAAACCCTAAAAGTTCTGTAAGCATTAAGATGTGAGAAGTTTTCGTGTATGACCCTACTATGCCAGCAGAAGTTTATTTTCAATACTACTTATTCAGAAATAGCAATGCTACCTCAACCTGTATGATATATTTTTTCATGGCTCTTGGAGTAAGACCAGCAAAAATCACTGATAACCAAAACCAAAACCCCTTTAAAAATTGTGTCTGCAGTTGTTTATTAGCAACACCTTACAGTATCAGTTCTATAACTGCAGAATCCTTGACTGTTCATCTGACTTTCTCATTTTAGGAAAAAAATATTCTGACCATTATTTTCTTAGAAATTTTGGTTGTTTTCTATTTTTAAGGGTACCACAGAAGCAAGAAGGCAAACAAGGCTGAGAAGGGAAACCAGTATACACAAATATTTTCCAGTTAATATACATGTAATTTTTGTTTGTTAGGGTCAGAAGTTTATCCAGTTGTAGTTACAAAGCTACAGAAGGAGTTAGAGATACAATCTTTTACTATAGTGGGTTTTTTAATCCACCAGGTAAATGGATGCAGAATGCACACGTGCACACATCAGGAAAATGTGGCTGAAATCGATATACAAAGGGAAATAAAAGAGAAAAATGTCTGGCAGACCAACCTACTGCAGGGAATATCATTGAAGAAAGAGCTTTGTATTTGCTGCACAGGGAGGCAGGTGGGAAGGGAGATGGGCAGGCAGAGGAGGGACAGGCAGACACAGGATGGTAGCACTGTGCAGCACAGCTCTTCCCTCCTGCCAGCAAGCCTGCCAAGCTGGGAAAATTCTGCCGTCTGTGCACAGCACACTGAGTGAGAAACCTCTACAGCATGGTTCTGCCTTTTTGTCATGAGGGATACTATGTGATGTTAAATTATACATAAATATCAAGTAGGACTTTCTGTCAGAAATGAAAAGCTAATCATCCAGTAACATGATTTAGTGGATACTTATAATCAAAACAAAGAATTAACCACCACTGTTTGAGCAATTCAAACTGTGCTTTCTGTATGAGTTCATCTCTACTGACAAAGAATAATAGAGGCTTAACAAAATGTTCTCCTTCCTGGGGCAAGGGGAATGTAATATTTATCTGCAGTGGTGTCCAGGGGGACATCGCATGCCACAATCAATCAGCTCATAAAATATTGTGAAGCAAAGTGGTGGCAATTTAGATAATAACATGGAAAACTAGCTTACAAGAAGAAATAAAAAACTAACCAAATTAGAAAGTTCCCAGTTTAATCAGCTCACAGGATTACCAAAACTCACATCCTTAATTCTGCAAACTTTCTCGTAATCTTGTCTTTTTTTTTTTTTTTTTTATAGCTATGGAGGTGCCTAGAATAGAGTCTGTAGTCAGGCATGAAAGTACAGAAACTTAAAATGAACACAGATGCTTCATTTCTGTTCAAAACAGACCATTAATTCTGAAGTCTCCAGAATTCTCTGTGTGGTAATGCTCTGACAAGTTTTCAGACATTTCTAACAAAGAATTTGTCTCTGAATGAAAACTGGGGAATGGTAGTTCTCCCTTTACACAGTAATGCTTCTTAGTTACTAAATGCCTCATGTCCTCTTACTTAAGAACATAATCTTTGGAAACACAGGGGAAAAAATCTTTCAGTGAGGAGACCAGGATTGCTACAGAAAACACAAGGAAGTAACCCACAACAGCAATGAGACTGGAACAGAAATGCTACACCACTTATCTGCTGTCCCTCTGCTTTTCCACCTAGAGTCACACTGCCTTTTTTTGACTCTCTGGTTGACAATGAACACCAATTTAACTCAGCATTTTGAGGGTGCCACTCCCTATATAAGACAGTTTTCTCTTCATGTCCTTACTAAGGGGTAAATACATTCAATTACCTCATCATAATACCTCTCCTAGTAGTGCAAAAAAATGCTTTGCTCAATATTGCCAAATAAAACTCAAACACACATACACACAAAATCTGGAATCGGTGAAGTGCTTAGGTTTTGCTTTTAGAAAGGGAGTCTTTCTGCAAGGATTGGAGATTCTTTGGCTTCCACAAGTCTCATAACTCATCATATACACACATCTAAGACTTCTTGTGGTCTGCTATTAAATCCAAACATTATAATACAGGACTGATATTAACTGTGAACTTGTTCAATAAATTTCATCTCCATACAAGGAATACAGCAACAGCTTTACTCCACTGAGATGGAAAGCGCCGCCAGGGGCTGCAGAAAGGAGCAGCAGTAGGAACTGGGTGCCCAGTGCACCACACTATGGTGCCTGCCTTGTGAGAGAACTGAAGAACTTTCCTCCAAAGAGCTGAGGGGTATGGAAAGGGGGCTGCAAACTGGGATGGCAGACTTGTACAAGTAAGCAGATATGTAATGTAATTATACCTATGTTGCTGTAGAGCTAACTCTCACCAGAAGTTATACTAATGTGAAGTCAAAATATTTAAACAAAAATATGAATAACAAAGAATCCTAAGCCATAGACTTTCATTTTAATTTTACTCTTCATGTATAAATCAAAGTATTGATGATTATGTGGAACATATATTTAAATTTTGATTAATGACACTGTCAAGTGGATGTAAACTCATCAAAGGTAGAAACATAACTAAAATGACCTGTCTGTAGTGAAATTCAGTATGGTTTTCTCCTGGTATACTCTTAATACTCAGGCAAAGTGCATCAAAACTCTTCTGAGTGGTAGACAAAAAAATCAATTGCAGTACTTCTAATGAATGTTGTTTAAAACATAATGCAGCTTTAAGTAGTTATAAATTGATAAAGATGAGCCAGGAAAAAAAAAAAAAAAAAAAAATGACTGGTTAAATCATAAAGCAGATTCAGATTTGGTAGAGACTCTCCAAGACAGTTGTGCTTCACCCTTTTCCACTATGCTGAAATGCATTACTGAGGCACTGAGATTCCTTGACATAAAACTGCACAGGATGTTTTTGATGGATAAACATTTAAGGGAATGGTCATGTGTTGATCCTGGCAATTCAAAGTAGGCAGGAATGCGGTTATCTTGCAGTCCCTGAAGCCGAGCTTCAGAAGCAACACTTCAGAACTTGTTACTGTCTTACAATCAATGCAATTAGATAACAGATCACCCATCCTCCCCTTTTGTCTAAATCAATTGGTGCTCCTTAAAGAAACAGAAACTTAACAGCAGAGGACTCTTGTCACAGGGAGCAGCTGGCTGCTCTTACATGACCCAGGACTTTAATGTGGCTGGACAAGCAGAGCAAGGCTACAATGGAAGCACTTTTAGCCAGATATAACCAAGTATCCACTTACTGTTGGTTGCATAACATATGGCGGATGAGGCATCCATGAAGTACTCTGGACCTGCACATCAAATACTTTTAATTAGCATAGAAAAGTTTCAAACTTCAAGATTTACTTGAAAATATTCTCTCTATTACAACTAAGGTACTAATTTTGACAAATGACTTAAGTCCTATAACTCAACACAAAATTAATTTATGCTTTGTAAAGTTATTGTCAAAGGAAAAAGCTTTCAAATTTCATTTGATAATGTTTTCTACCAAAGTGAGAAGTCTGAGTGATTGCACCCCTCCTATAAATCACAACATTTTATCTCATAAAGAAGTCTTCAATATTCCACGTTGTTCTGTTTTTTCATTTGCATTGTTTGCTTTCATCCATCAATATAATCATGAACATGTCATCCAACCGACAGTGCAGGAGACATAAAATGCCCAAAGTTTATTTTCAAGAGTATCTGTGTGAACTTTTAAAGGTATAGCATTTTCAGAGATCCCAGAATGACTTGTTCTGTTTCCTGTAAGAACTGCAGATCTAATTCAGAGTTTTTGAAAATTAATTCTAATTGAAAGCTTTCACAGCAAAGCTGGCTTAAGAAGTCTTTCCCTCCAGGATCATTCTTACTTTGAGCATCCTGGGGTCTATTCCCACCAGAGCTCCATATGCATCACCAAAGACTTGCTTTGTTGTTCTGCCTTATGACTGGCATGGAACATATTTCAAGGATATGAAAATTTTACTAAGAATTAAGCACATTATAGAGTGTTTGCATCATTTGTGGTGGCATCTCTGATCTGTAACTCCCTTTTGTGCTATGTGCGAATGGCCCACATGCTACCATAACTTGGGCTCAGCCCCAAGAATTGTGTATTGTAGTTTCCTTTTGCGTCAGTCTGGGCACCACAACACACAAGTACACAAAAATGTAGCTGTGCTAGTGCCATCAGAGGACACTTCCATCAGAGGACATCTTGCTGTCACAGAGAGGGGTGTGTAGCACCTCAGACTGAGCACGACCAGGAATAACAAGGAGAAAGCTACAAGGTCCCACTTCTCCAGATGCCCTGTGCTTTTGTTCATGAAGTGTTGGGAATTAATTGTATAACAGTGTGCTCCAACATTTGTATATGTTTCTCAAAGTCTATTTTTTGTAGAAAAGCAAGTTCAGCAAAACATCTTTAGAACCAAAGCCAGCACACCCACATGTGAACACACCTCTACTACAACACCTTCTGCTGTGAATCCCTGTGAGTGAGCTAAAATGCACTAGAGCTGCCATAGATTGCTGCTGCTCATTGCTCCCACTCTTGCACCACTGCAGTTCTGTCACTGTGCCAGGGAAAATGTCTTTGGGCTTACACTGCAAGCTATCTAGGGAAAATGATACGGGTTAATAAAAACTAAAAAAATGAATGGTTTTGGTGCAAACGCATGAAACCACAAACCGATGCAATGGTTCGAACCAGAATGGGAAAAGGGGGAGTAACTGTGAGCTGTGGAGCAGTGATGAAAGTGAGTGGGTGGGTGGCCTGAACTCAGTGGCCTGAATGGGAAGTAGTATGGCTCTTAAGCCAGCTTTGCTACTGAGAAAATTGCGTGTGAGCTGCACTTGTGTGTCTCTGGCATTGACTCTTCTTTGGTGCTGCCATTACTGAAATTTACTGAATTTACCTCATCAAAACAACTTTTGTTTGGCAAGTGCTACATAGCCATCTAAAATAAAATAAAAACAAAAGTCAAATAGAATTACAAGAATCATTTATCTTTGAGGATCAAGTTTAAAACAGAGTAAGTCCCCAGAATTACCTGTAAGCAGTATCATACCATCTGCAACACCCCAGCCCCAACAAAAACACCCTAACATTGAAAACAACCCACCATGCAGCTTTGAAAATTTGGGTAGCATATTTCAGGTAAGACTCAGGGTTGGAAAATCACTGATGGCACAGGAGAGAAATAACTAAAGCTGCAAAATGTATAGTCACTGACCAGCTTCTGTGAAGTGGTAAGCTCCCAGACAATGGCTAATAATAAAAATATACAATCTGGTTTTGACTTCCATCTCAGAAAGCCAAAACAAGACAATAATTTCCCAGTGGAGATTTGAGAGGGATGTGCTGAAAAGAGAAATTCTGAATGACATGCCATGTAGCAGACTAAAGAATGATTTGAGGATACTTATCATCAAGTAATTTGCTTTGTCAGGGATTATTGGATAAAAACGAGTACTTTTAAAGGGTGCAGTTACTGGAAAAATTACAGCTAGGGTCAAAAGATCAAAGTATAATGCAGTCATCATAAATTATTTAAAAAAAACACTTAAAAAAATTTTGGCTAATGAAGGGAAGCCAAAATGAGGAAACAGTTCAATATGAATGATAAGCTTCTGGTGTTGTCAATTGGAAATTAAGCAAAATGTTGTTTATCAGAGAAGCTGATTGAAATTAAGAATTACAGTGGCTTTCATTACTGCTGTAAAGAATGCAGGAAACACTTAAGACTCTACCCAATGATACCTGAATATTACTAGAGAGCCCTTTGTTTTCAGTGTGACTCAAGAGTGCAAGCACTCACACAATTTTCTGTGGTATACACTCTGCCTTCATCCACATCCAAAACATAATTAACTGGGAAACACAGTAGACAAGTGCACATCTGACGTACCTGATATGTAGAGACAGGGGAAGCAGCAATGAATGGCGTGATTGATGTCTGTGGAATCATGCGGTTTGTTGGAATACTGTACGGTGAGGAATAAAATCTGCAAACAAAGAACAAAAGCGAGATATTTTTGAACCTTTTGACTACTTCAGCTCTGACTAAATAATTCACTGCCTCCTGGGCAAAGACAAAAAGAGTCTACCCGGGTAATTATGTCCATCTATTTCCAAAATCACAATAAAAAAAGATGTGATGGCTCCATTGAGAAGATCTCGAAAATGGAAAGGAGGAAGAATATTTACACAAAGCATATTTTTTTTCACTTCAACTAGCACAAATATAGAAATTCACAATACAAAAAGCAATTATCTGAAATGCAAGGACAGCTGATTTTCCTGGGTGCTAGCTAGTGAAAGAAAATTTCTTACGCGGTATCGAAGACGACATTACTGATTTCATTTTTACACTGGGTACTGTTTTCTTTTCATATCCTAGTGCTTCAGTGCTGAGAATAACACATTCTACATACATGCCTGAATTATTTTATTAAGGGGTGGCTACAAAAACTCTGGCTGAAATTTTCATATTCATCTAGAAAGAGAGCAAAATCCCCTTTTTCTGGTGAAATATATCAGGAAGTATGAGGCTAAATGCCCCAGGCAGAACTGAAAATCTCAGATTCAGTAGGTTTTACTTCCACTGTTGCATGCTATGAACAGAAGCTGCACCATCTCTTGCTTGATGGTATTAAATGCTATATTCTTTCTCCTTCCCTGTGGGTTAATGATTATTGATAAAATTATCACTTGGAAAATATCATCACTACTGCTGGATTGTGTTAGTACTTAATATGTGTGTGCTTGTAAAGATTTTTGCATTTTCTCTTTTTGCAGTTTTAAGTGTAAGCCAGAACAACATAATTGCTTAAAAAAAAAAAAAACATGTTTGTGGTTTTACAGTTGTCTAAATGCCTATATTTTGGACTCAGAGAGAAGGACTAATGTGCAGTGGTTTTTTGTACTATTTAAAACCTCATATAGCTCCTTCTCATATAGGATGCAGCAGTAAATAACAGAAGATTCTGCACAGTGGATTGCATTCCCTGTCTTTTTACATTTTTTCCCCTCCCTACTTTGAGGCAATAAACAGTAGCTTTCCATGAGAGCTATGCAACAACAACAAAAAAATCATTACTGGTGTTTAAACAAGTGCTCTATTTCCTGATCACCCTGGCACCACAGATTTAGTACTAATCAGTCTAGTTCAGACTGGATGCACTCATTCTGGATGCAGGCTCAAATAACCATCGACTTCAACCAATAGCCTTGGAAAAACAGGCTGCTCTCTCTGAACGTTGGGCGGAAACATTCAAAGTTAGGAGGGGAGAGGGAGACAGAGAAGCAATCATTTGTTCTTTCTATTCCAAATCAGATTTTAAAATGCCAAAAGCAGCAGGTGGCATATGAGTGATTTTTTGTTTAATAGAAATATAATGCTATTTTAGGACCATTTATCTGCCCTCACAATGCTCGCACTGAGACTATTTTAAAATTGTGCCTTTGCCCAATTTTATATATATCCCATTATGAGAATTTAGAGGCATTTGTATCCCCATACTTTCACCAAATATTAAGTTCGCAATACATCGAGGGAGAAGGGATTTTTACACCACTAGGCAGGTTCATCTATGGCACTAACACATTGCATATTATCTAATTCCTTTTACAGGGGTCTTCTCCCAGATCAATGTTAACCAGAAATCACCTGGGCTATGCTGTTGCTAAGTGGGTCAGCTACGAAATGTTGTGTGCAGCAAATGAAAATAGTCAACGGCAGACTGACAGAATCTAGTCTGTGGGTAAAATTTGTAGTGTATAGAAATACATATAAACCTCCTAAAGTAAAAGATAATAGAAAACCAAAACTCCTTTGAGAAAAACACACGTTTTTGTTCATTCTTTTCTCATTCTGTTCATAAACCTGGCACTGATTCTGGGCTCATACTCATAACCATGTATGAACCTCTCGGACAAAGACAAGTACAGGGAAGAAACTACTTTCCATTTGGAAGTAGTGCTGACTCTTTGGAATAAACCCTCCAATAAATCCCAGCAAATACTAACAAATTTACAGAAAATGTGTGCTAAGCCAAGAATTTGACAGACAGCTTGCCATTTCAGTTTCAGCTTAGAGATGCATTTATCTGAATAGTACACAAGCCTGTAGAATACATACTCTGGTAATGTGGAAAATACAGCCCTTCCAACAGCCCTGCCAATACCATTTATCTGTCGCCGTTTGGAATGCTCTCAAATAAGCATCAAATAAAACATCCTACCAGGACACTCAGCTGTATTGGGAAAATTCATCCACAAGGGCACCAAGGAAGAGAAGGAACAAACTCTGGTGCTGCAAGTGACAATGCAAGAAAATCCAGTTCATATATTTCAATTCTAATAATAATAATATTAATAAAAATATCAAGTGTAACAATCCCAGTCACTGTGACAGGCTGCAAAGAGATCATTTTGCAGTCAGAAATTTCTAACATCAAGAGACAAAGGCTTGTCTTATTTCCTCAGTGCCACTGGTGGCCAAAAGGATCTAACAATGAAGGATGTGGATGTCTCTGCCCCATGTGAAGTACAGCGGTGCAGTGAGGGTAGAGGTGTTCTTGCTGGGGATGGACTCAAGCAGAGCCACCCTCAGGTATGGGATGCTCAACCTACTGCACTGCTGGAGTCATTTGCTGCCAGGGCAGGGCTCATTGACAAAGAGTGCTCCACACATTCTCACCCATGGGACACCGAGGGATCTCCCCCTAAATTCCCTTTATATACAAATGGGCTAATATCCTCATATGTCACTGGCGTAAGTGGCACGCTGGGATCTAGTAAGAGGCAAGGGGAACAAAACCACAAAAACAGAGTGGCCTGTTCTGGCACAAACCCTACAGCATGACAAGATTTGCAGCTGAGGACCTTGCTATATTCAGTCTTAGGCTTTCCCTTCTTTTTCTTTTCTTTAGGAGGTGAAATGAGGTGGAAGATGCATGTTGTAAGTTCATTCAAGGGAACACAGGACTCAGTCATCAGAATATCTACATCAGAAAGAGGAGTGGAAAGAGATATGAATTATTCTGACTTTGACTTGTTTTAGATATATTAAATTGTGCCTCCAAGTTTCCCAGCATTAAAATGCACAGTGTATCTAGTACTGTGCACTAGGTATTATGAGGCTTTGTGGTGTGGTTGACCTGTGAGCTCTAAGGAGAGCTCTCCAGAAGGCTCAGCTGCATTTTCTGCAAATGTAGTTTGCACCCTTACATGGCTCTGTGCAGTTTTTGCAGGTGCAAGACAGTGTCCCTGCTCTTCAGCTACAATTGCAATGCTACGAGCACAAGCATGCAGGTTGGGCATGCAGGTGGCAAGGGCAAGGCAAAATGGACATCACCCTTATATTAAAAATAGACTTTTTCAGCATGCATAGATTCCATAAGCAAAGGGGAAACTCATCATTAGTAGGCAAAAAGATGCTCCTGGGAGTTCCTGAAGGGGTTTTATAAGGGGCTCAAAAGAACACATTTTTCAGGCATGTTAAAAAGAAGCGTATTTCCAGTACATCATCAGGCACACAGAGGCAGCACTTTAACAGCAGTTTCTGTTGCTTAACAGACAAAGCACATACTCCCCTACTACACCAACCCTCCCTTCGCATTTGGGGACTGCATTATCTGCAGTGTCTGGTCACTGTTTCCCTGCCAAAAAGTGGGAAAAAAAAAATCCATATGGTTCCCACTCTATTGGGGAATGTGCAAGCTTCCAGACAGAATCTGCACAAGAGCAAGATCCTATTTGCACTGCAATAAACACCATTTGCTCATGCCTCGTGCCTGCAGGCAGTACTGAAAAAGTTAGATTCATAAATAGTATCCTGGGGCTCACATAATGTAAGAGTATTACCAAACATTATCAAGGCAGCAATTTTCTATTGCAACAAGGCACACAGTCAGATGTTGGAGTTGGAAAAGACCTATCTGAATACTGAGCCCATTGGCCAGCAAATGCACCAAATTGTCCCCCAGATATGAGATACTAAACTGATACAGTACATGGAAATCTTAGTCAAATGGCCAGGAGGATTCCAGCCTCAGGAACACTTTAAATGGTCTTCCTTACAGTGCAAGTAAAAGAGCTCTGTCCTGTTCCTTGTATGAATGCATAAAACTACTAAAACAATGTTAATGCAACAAATTGAAAAATCAATAACATATCACAACAGGCACATTACTCCCTAAAATAAAACCTGAGTACCTTTGTAAACACAATTCCGAAAAGGCTGATAATAAAAAAAAAATAAAAATAAATTAAAAAAAAAAAAAAGCAGAGTGGTTGCCAAGTGAAAAGATCTTATCTACTGAAGTGTGTGCTTACCAAATCTTCAGTACCTCATACTGCAATGCTGTGGTACACTACAGGCTGGATTCTCCACTCCATTATACCAGTTTTATGCTGATGTAACTCCACTGGATGCTTAAACAGAGCTACATGGGCATAAAAACAATATAATGAAATGGAGAATCAAGCTTTACAATGTAATAGACTCAGAAGAAAATCATCTATTCCTTAGTGGGGAAAAAAATCATAGTCATTTTTAGTGAAAGCCTCTTTCACACTCTCTTTTGTTTTATTCCTGCTATAGATTTTCAAGGCAAATATGCAGTTATGTGGTAATAAAAGTGATAGTACGACACCGCAAACAATAAGAACCTACCTTTTCATTTGGAAACGAGAGTCAAGTTTCTTCCCTGAGGTTTGGTTATGGCCCAACTCAAAACCAAATATAATCCAAACCTCTTAAGGAGCTGCAACTTTTAAATACCACCCCATGACACCTGCTGCAGAGACGTGTTTCTCTACCAGGCTCCATCATCCACATAATGCTGTGTGGATTTAGCAATTTAGATGCATCCAAATGCATCTATCAACCCTACAAAGAGCTCTAGAAAATGCCAGCATGTGCAGTTAATCTTTCTTTTTAAATTTTGTTGGTGGTTCATAACGCTTCTGAATCATCACCTTGACTTGGCATCTTTACATTTCTCATCCCCAGACTCAGTTCACTAAGTTCCACCATGGTGGCCCCAACTGAATGCTATGAGGAAAAGGCTTTTGTTCCACTGGTCTTTGGGTGACATTGCTTCATGAAAACCTTAGTGGCTCGGCCCACATTACAGCCAAAATATTCTGCTCCCTTTTAAGCACAGGGTGGGTGTGGGCACAGATTCAACTTTGTGCTCAGTTTTCCACACTGCCCTCCCCATGAGGAAGATGCCCCTTTCAGTCTCCCACCTTGGCATGTATCTTGTGTCAGCAGGCAACAGATCACACTGACACATTCCACAAGCAAAGCATCGAGGTGCTCCCAGACTTTACTGAAATAAAACTCCTGAGCTAGATTTTCACTGTGCTTGCAAGTAAAAGAGTCTTATTTAAAACAGAAAATAATTAAAACTACAGGGCACGTAGAGATTACTGTGTGAATGTCTGGAGAAATAAAAAAAATTCCGTCGAACAAAAAGAGTCCCGGTGCTCCTCATGATGCTGCACGCAATCAAGACCTCGCCACAACAGCATTTTGAGTGGTGGCTTAGTCCTGATAAAACTGAAAATATTTTGACACTTTAGAAAAAAGACATATGTCAAAGTAGTAATTAATTGTCACTCTTAGAGAGCTATCTGGTACTGTGATTTAATTTATCTCTTGCCTTAAAAACAAAAGAATATTTAAAAAACTGCAGAACTGAAATTCTCCATTGAGTACAATTTCTTTACCCAATGTGAACAGTGACAGCATGTTCAAGCAATTGAGTGGCCAAACCACCTGAGCAGCCTGCACACCACAGGTATTCTTTGATATAAATAATGTCTGATTCTGAGATAACTTTCATAATTTCAGAAGAATTATTCTTGAATTAAAATCATATTAGTCTCCATGGATCATTCAAACGATGGTTTCCAAAACACTCACACAAGTGACATGAAGGAATTTATATGAAAAACAAAGCCAGTTGTCCGCATGAAACACTGGTGTATTATGAATCAGTGATGTTTTTATTTATAGAATATAACATTTACCAGCTGAAGAGTATGACAATAGAGAAGAATGACTCATTTGGAGGTCAGAACAGGGAAACAGAAGCAGAGAATTCTGAAAACACAATTGCAATCTCTCTATTCTTCTGAGTTTGGCCTCTTACTCCACTGGAGTACAACACAGGAATATCACAAGTCCTACAAAATTACTGCTTGTAAAGGAAAATTAAGCAAAATAGACTATTAATATTGATTTTTAAAAAATACAGGGAGTGTCAGGGTTTTTTTCCTAAATGCTTCAACTAGCATTGCCCTAACATATATTTAACAAATAAGCCCATTCTTATCTATATCAATAAATTCTCCCCTTCAGCTGGAGAACACAGGTGGGAGCACGCATGGAATTCAATAATCATATCATACATCTCTCTGATCAAAGAGTGACTGTCAAAGGGCTGAACTTCCTGCCTCTTTTCAAATTCTTGTTAACCTAGCTGAAAAGAGAGCTAAATTTCAAGGATATCTTTTTCTAGTTTATGAAACAATTGGAAATGTAATCATGCAGGTAAATAATAAGATGATGTAATTTCACTGCTCAATTAGAGAAAAAATTGTGATTCCTCGTGTCAGCAAATGGTAGCTGAGAAATAAAAAAGAGTGTTGCTCAGAATTTTACCCTTAAATCCCATCTGCTTACACACTAATTTAAGGCTTTCTCCCTATCTGGCATTTTTATTCAGACAATGCCATGGAAGGCAGCCAGCCTACAGAAAGAACCCCAGATGAAGTAACAGCTCTATTATTCAAAATACGTTGGAATCGTCAATGATTATTTTAACAAAAGCCAAGTCAGTAAAGGGAAACTTTACTGGTTTCCACTTCATGACAGAGAGAGATTAAAAAGACATCTACTAACATTTGCCAAATAGAGATGGAAACTATTAGGAAAAACAACTTCCCATTCAAATGGATATTGCAAGGAAGAAGGCATAAAAAGAAAAGGAAAACTAAAGAAGAACTTGACAATATAGCATTATATGCTTCAGACAAAATATGACTGAATGGATTTGCTTTTCAAAAAGTTTCACTACAGAAAATAAAACATAAGATGACATTCAAAATGATTAAAAAAAAAAAGACATAAGAAAACATGCATTTCTTACCCATTCTGTATAGCAGCTGTTGGATCGTAAGTCAAAGCCATGCCAGCCTGCACATAGTTAGGGAAGAAAAACAGATTTTTACTATTACTGCAGGAAGAGAGAAAAAAAAATAAAAGAAAAATACATGAAACATATTCAAAACCAGTATGAATAAAAACTAAATGCAACTGAAATAGAAATCTAAATTCTCAAGGGATGCTCAGATGGCCCAAAGCAGCATGGACAGATTGGGTACCTCCCCAGCCTGAGAGATCACTGAGAAACAGATCTGTTCAGTCTGTTGGTTGTCATCTTTCCATAACATCTCGGGCAAATGGTGTTTTTGTTGCACCAGTATCAATTAATAACTCCACTGAGATCAATGCCTTTACAACTGACTACTCACTATAAAAAGACAGGCCCAAATCCCGCTGTTGCCTGTGAGATGGCTGGTTGGTAAATATTCCAAAGGCAACTTCATGAGGGCTTCACAGGAAGGAGTCTCATCTTTCCTACAAAGGTCACACCCCGGATGACCCCTGCCTACCATTTCCCTGGGGTGTAACTCCTACTTGGAGTTAATTCATTACCATGAGACAAGAAACAATGGGCTGTCAAGCAGAAAAGCTTGAGCTTTCAAACAAGGCTTTTAAAATATTTCAGAGGTCTGGACAGCAAAAGGATTTGTTAATGTGTTACACAGAGCTTTTCAACTGCCCTTTACCACCAGGCAGACCGTGACCTGTGCGGAAGGATTTGGCAGTGTCAAAACATTGTCCAGTGTCAAAACATTGTCCAGTTAACAGCTGTCATCACTGCCACCATTAGCAGACATGTCCATAGGTACCACAGGAAAGGCAGTGAGGGAGCAGGGCTGCAGACAGAATTAAACACTCCACCCTATGCTCCAAGACAGCAGTCAGGGTCATGCAGGAAAGATCTTTTTTTTTTCCCCCCAGCATTTACTTAAAGACATGGAACTGACAATCTCTCCTCCCACATGCTGCATTTGCTTTGACTTTTTGCCTTCCTTATCGATTTTCATCCCTCCCTTTGTGAAATGCTTTCCAATGTAAGACTACCAAGAGATGGGAAGAAGCCGTCCTTTGTGCAGGGTAAGAAGCAAAGGGTAGAGAAGCTGTATTGCTCAAGGTGCTGCTGTCCCTGTGGGAGCCACTGGAAAAACGCCATGGCACCATCCCACCCCAAGGCACTGTATTCCTCTTCATTTTTTGTATGTATTCTATGCTTGTTGTCTGAGACAGGCAGCATTTTCTTCAAGGACAGATGCTTTACCAACCACGTGGCATGGTCCGTGCTCCTGCTGGGAGCTTTTCGTGCCCCTAAAGCCATCTACCAAAGTACTTTTGAATAATGGCATCTGCCCCCTTCCAGATGGCTGTGCAGACAGGTCAGGAGAGCGTTTGGGCTTGGCTGGTGCCCAGGCAGGCAGGTGAGCAGCCGGGGTAAATGCACTGGTGATGAGCATGCAAAAGGGAGTGGGCAGCACTCCTGGAAGAGCTGGGTTAGCCCAGCAGCTGCAAACTGGGGTAAGAGGAGGTGGTCCAAATTTCCAGAGGCCAAAAATAATTTCTGATGTGAAAGGCCAGGTTTCCTTATGCCACCAAAAAAAAGGTTCGTGTCCTTGTTAAATTTGTATATTTCTCTCATTATTCTTTTAAGCAGATGCTAGGGCAAATGTTTTGCTTTATCAAAATGCCGCTGTTTTAATAAAATACGTAGTCTCTCCCAAGCAAAGGATAATTCAGGGGACTGAGTCCAAGTCCATGTGAATATTTTTGAAAGAAGCATTGATTTCATACAAAGAAAAATATAATGGCTATTTCTGCAAGTTTAAAATGTCAGAGAACTCAGTTTAGGGAGACCCAAACCTCTACTAATTTTGATGTAAAAAATAAATTAGCTTAGAAAATCATAATCCCTTACTTAACTTGGTTTTATATCCTCATGCCTTATGCATACTCAGCACGTTATCTTGTTTAATAAGGTTGCATTAATTACTAAAGGAAATGTGTAAATTTCTAAACAAAAGAGAAAAGAAAACTTTTTGGCTGCAGTACATCTTTGAGGAAACATTCTGTCTTGTTTCCCTTTCTCTTTTCAACATGTATAAAATTTGTTATTGCTCTCTTTTTCTATTCCTGCACTGGTGAAGACAACTTACATATTATGTAGAAGCCCTAGAGGGATGAAAAAATTAATTTATTATTTTTTTTAATATTCTTTAAAATAATATATTTCCTTTAAAATGAGGTGTTTACATTTTATCTCTCATCACACTACTCAGACTAAGGGAAAAAACCCATTACAATTTCTTGAGAAAGGACTGAACCAAGCTTTCTAAATTAAAGAGTTTCTAGATCTAGTTGTCCTTAGAGTTGCTGGATCAGGGTTCATTATATCCTGAAGCTTGCATTAGTGACTGGGGGATAAAATGGCAACAAGGTAGGTGGGCCTGGGAGGAAAAGTGAAAATAAACAACTGGTCTTATCTTAGTTTCTTTGACATAAAATAAGAATGAAGGTGTAGGAATGAAAATCTACAGCATCTCTTTCACTTGCTGTCCATGTGAGACCTGCAAACACATTTGTGCTGCTTTCATTTACTTTTCTCATGCATATTTGAGTACATGGTCATGGCATGGACCCTCAGCTTGCCCTCTAACCCCATCACACCCAGACCTGTGTGTGGGTCCATGCAGACAAACGGCACAAACTCAGTTCTCTGTATCAGTATTAAGAATAGGGGACGCAACAGTGATCCTGAACAGTACAAAATATGAAAGGCGAAACACTCATCTCCTCCTTATCCACGTCCCATATCCATACTGCATGGAGACTGATTACCAAAATCTGTTCAAGTACTATAGCAGTGACCACTATAATTATCCCCATCACATTTACCAGTGGATGAAAAGTTTCACATTAGACAAATAGGACACAGCGTGTGGCAATATGTGCATATGGTAACCACCTACGGTTGGCGCAGTAATGTTGCTAATAACCCCCGTTGCTGCATAGCCTTAAACAACTGCTAGTTCAAATAGCTGCTAACACAGGACTATTTACTTCTTTCTCATCAAGTTGTATAATTTCTCCCTACAAAATTATGCTGGCTGGAAGCCCAGGAGTGGCAACACTTAGCCTGGACCAGTCAAAGATTTATGGTATGAAGCATCCCCATTCATCAGGAATAAAAATTGATGAGCAATAATAACTTACTGGAAAATTGTCTGACCTTTCCCCCGTAGCAGACAAACAGGAATTCCAAAAATACCAAATGCAGAATATTAGGGTTGGCCTCAGACTTCCATGTGAGAGAGGTCTAGCTCATTCTGTTAAAATCAGAATTGAGTATAACACAGGCTGAACTATACCAAGCACTAGCTGATGCCTCCATGGGAGCCCTCTGCTCTGCTGAGAGACTTTCTTTTGCACCTTTTCACCCACTGGTTTGCTTGTGTCTCAGTAGGAGAGGATCTTGTTCTTTCTTCTCATTGTGACAATTCCTGATAAAATGGCACCTGAGGGAGTGGCACTGATGATGGAGCGCTGATTTAGGAAAGTATTTGTCAGATAAATCTTCTATTGAGGAACAACTGAACCACATAATTTTCATGCCACTCAGCCAGATAATGGCTGTAGACTCAGCTGTTGAATGAAAACATACTAATAGAAATAAAGGTCATTCTTAATGACTACTGGTCTGTTCAGAGTCAGGTGACACAGAAATTAACCTAGCTTGTTAAAAAAAAAGAAAGATTTTTCAAAAGATTACTTAAACCATATGAGTTTACTTATCTCTTTTTTTCACCAAAGTGTCTGAACTTAAAGGACATGAGGAAAGAATGAAAGTTTTTGTCATTTTTTGCTGCAGTTTTATAACTACATCAGTAAAAGAGATTCTAAAAGATTCAAGAGATTCAGTCTACACCTGTCTTTAAGTTTAAGCTCTTTCATTCAATAAAGAGCAGAAAATACAAAAAAGCCTCTGGAAAACAAGGGTTTCCCTACGAAGTTTGAAGGCCTTTTGCTCAATGCTTTACTGTCAAAATTTTCCACAGGCAAAGACAAGATGTTCTGTTTCTGGTTAGATTTTTTTCCTTTGTTATGATTTGAACCCAAATGATCAGATCTTCAATATCATGTGAAATAAAGTGGGTTTATTATTTCTCTACCCCTGTGATGTCTCACAAGAAAAAACTTATCAGTGCAGTATCTGTCTTCCAGCAAACATAAATACCAATAAATGACAAATTTCTTCTGTGCATCACCTGTGAAGCCCTGTGCATCTTCTGTGTTTTTGGAAAGCTGCTTTCATGAACAACTTCACCATCATATCACCATCTACTCTCAGTGTACGTCTTTCTGACATCGTGCAAAAATTCACTGCAATATCGACCTGCTACAAGATGTGCTATTCCTTCCTCTCAGAGGTGAGACTTCCCCATCATCTCCTCCACCTGCCCTGGCCAGCCTCTGCCCAGTGCTGGAGCACCTCTGCAAGGGGAGGCTGCTGCCACTGCAGGATTTCGGGCTGTGCAGGAGGCCACAGTCCACTGGAAAAAAATGGAGAGGCCTGAAAATTAAAAAGGTGTGAAATCCATGGATGTGGTGGGTTTTCTAGGCAGAAGGCCCCCTCCTTAAGAGGAGACTTAGAAAGGTAAGGTTGTGCAGTTGCACTTAAGGGATTTCTGTGGTGAACTGATGTGGGAGTTGGCTAAAAGACAAGTCTCTCTTCCCAATCTCCACTGACTCATACCTTCACCCTTTCACACTGGAGGACTGCCATCCCAGGGTGTGCTCTTGGCTACTACAGCAGAATCAATTGAAATTTCAACACTCAGATTCCTGTACTTGTTTTGTTTCCATCACTAATATCTGCCAGGCATCACAACACAAGCATCTCTTGTGCCCTGACAGAAGATACCCCTATTGATATGCTTTATCAAGAAAGAAGGGAGAGTAGGGAAAAGATATCAACCCAGATGAGATTCATGCAAAATACTGATTTAATAAAATAAGCTCAGTCACCAGTAAAGTTAATT